ATCCATTTCAGGCACACAGATATACTGATATGTGAAAAAGACGCTTTTTCAATTTTATTAAAATAACTCCCACATTAGCCGATATATATTATATTTATAGATTTATCGCACCTTGCTAGGTTTTAATAAAACTGTTAAAGTGAGTAGACGGGAATCCGACTTCATCCACTTTCGAATCGGGACGGGTGCTTATGGCTTTTGTTTTGAGTGAACTTGGTTATTGTATCTTAAGTGGTTTAGGAGATATGTAAATTCAGTCTTTAAGAAGGTGGAACATTATTATCGTGAAAAGAAACTTTTTCACAGTGTTATTACGATAAATTCATTGGTGCTTGATTTGCAGGTATACTGTAAAGTAAAAGAATTATAGAAAAATATAGTATTAAAAAGTTTGTTATGTGTGAAGTGATAGTGTTCGGATTCCGCCCGTCTGCAACTAACTTCTTCAGTGTGATAAGGAAATTTGTACCAGATTTCATGAATATAACTTAATTTTTATTCCAGTTAAAGCTTGCATGAGTAGACGGATGGACGGGGAGGCATACGGAAGTCAACTTCTCGTCATCCTAAACAACGTTTCGTCGCCGTCATTATTTGTTATAACTCTATATCTATCTTTAATATTTTTAGGTGTTACAAACAACCGTTTTGTGTACAATATTCTAATATTCTGTTGCAACATGTTGCATGAATATAAAATCAAACTTTTCTCAAAGAAGTGTCCTACACATGTTTCCTGGGGTCTAAGAATTTGTATGAAGATGGGTCAAAAAGATCAACATGTATAACATATAGAACTATAAAAAAAGAATAAATGTATCAATAACTTGTAAAAGATAATTTAGAGCGCTATGAGGTCGTTATGGTAATTTGTATGATTAGCAAGCTATACTTATATATCATATATAGTGTCGGACAAAACTAAAGCACAAAGTTCACCTTGTACACATTTACTCAAAAACAAAATGTAAAGTTTCGCCAAACATTTACCTGTTTTTATTACAAATAAGCTTTAGACATACAAAAATTCCGCATATTTTGTATATTTGCTGCGACAAAACTAAAGCACTAAACTATATTTACTTATTTATTGAACTAAATTCCAACAAGTCCCGTTAAAAAGCCATCTGTAGTTAAAAACCATTATTTGAAGAGCGTGTTCAAAGAGTTATAATACAATTAGATTAGTCATTTGTTATCAACCGATGGTGTTGCTTTGTAATAAAAAAAAACGTTTGTGAATATTTAGCACAATTTAGGGAAAAAATTATTAGCGATTTTGAAAACGGTGAATCAATAAATAATATTTTGAGGAAGTTCACAATTAATCACAGCATAGTCTGAAGAATTATAAGTCGTTTTCGTTCTTCGGGCTCCCTAACTACAATTCATGGAGGTGGCAGACCATGTAGAAAATAATTTCATAACATGCATAAGTGCCAAAAAGCCATACATTTCGCACAGAAATCGAAGAGCGTGGCTTGAATTTGCGATAGGTCACGCTAACTGGAGTATTACAAAATGGAGGAGTGTACTTTTTTCTGATAAGTCCAAGTACAATATTAAAGGAACTGATGGATTAAAGCTGGTACGAAGACTAAAAGATCAACGTTTGAATCCGATGTTGGTTTATAATGATAAATGATTGGTTTATTTCCAATAAAATATTAACAACATATAATTTTCTTTTTAACTATATGTAATCTGCTTTAGTTTTGCCGTATGTATTTCATGTATATTGTTAATATTTAAGTCATATTTAAGTGTAAAATGAAATAAAAATTTCGTGCTTTAGTTTTGTCCGACACTGTATGTCTGTTCATTGGTCAATATATATTTTTCTAATTTCTTATGCAATTTATTGTAGTTATTGCGAATAATTTTTGTCATTTCTATATAAACATAAATTATAATGTGTCTTGTTAGCAACGGCTTAGTGGATATTCAAGCCGGGTAGATCGAACACAGCTTTGTCGTTTCTTATTAGCAAAACCAGACTCAGACTGGTTGTTTGTCAGCTTCATTGAAATAATATCCATATTTCATAAGGATTTGAGGATTTTAGGTACCCCGTTACGACAAATTTGTGATTGTCGATAGACAATAATTCAGCTGCAGGGTTAAAATGACAATAAGTTAGTGAAACTTCCAAATAGTTTGACGAAGAGTTTTTCCACTCTCAAACATTGGTCTTGGTAAATGTAACACACAGAAGGAAATGACGGAGACCCTATAAAATATATATGTATATATAATCAGCGTGACGAACTGAGTTGATTTAGACATGCCCCTCTGTCCATCTGTATATACGCGAACTATTCTCTCAGTTTTTGAATATAGATTTGAAAGAGATCGAACCACTATAGCTGCTATACAAACTGAACTATGAAAAGCAAGTTCTTGTAAGGAGTCAAATTTTTACCGTTGATTTTTGTCTAAGCCAACGCTAGGGTTAGGTTAGGTTAGATTAGTCTGGTAGACTAATAAGCCACGAATAGACTAGTTTTGGTCCTTTGCGATGCCAGATGGAATTCCGTTACGAAGTCCATGAGGAGTAGTTATCCTTTAGGATGCCTGTGCTTGATGCGAATTTCAACAGACCCGATAGCTTATCTCACGATATCTTTAACAGTTTCCAATCTAACGTTTTACAAATGACTTTTACAGTTTTGTACCCAGATAGATTGTTCCATCGTGTTTTGATTTCCCTTCTCATGCTCATGTCCAGATCGTTGTATAAACAGCCGCACACCACTCCTGGCAATGTCGTTCACTCTGGACAGTATAACCTCGCACCAATTCCGTCCTTTCATTTTCGAGCCATCCGTATACATGTTTAATGTGTTCTATATGTTCTATATTTACTCTGAACCTCTTTTCCCTATTGAAAAGTGAGCTCATGTAGTTGATGCTTTCCAAATCGCCATCACCCACCGAGCAATGCCCGAACGCTCTATGTTTAAATTTTCCTGCAGGTAGTAGTCGCTGCCGATCCTTCGGCGTAGCTTTCAGGTTTATAGGTGGCAGTTTTAGCACTACACGCATATAAAGTATTGACGGACTTACTCACTTATCCACTTTATGATTAATATAATCAATGTTATTTCAGTTATTTTTCCATTTCACCAGTTTTCAACTTATGGTGAATAGAGAACAAATGTATTATAATTAGTGGCTGTTGTAAAGTTGCCTTCACAAGATAAATAAAGGTTAAATTATAGCGTTTTATGTGAACCGCTGTCTTAAGAAAAGCCCATCAATTTTTTTCTATTACTAGTTGCTAAGAAAAGTTGCCTGCTTCAGAAAAAAGGGTTAGTACAAAATTCTTACTGCATTTGATCCAATTAATTATAGCATGATAGTCACTGATAATTATAGTTATGAATACCAGTTCCCGTTTTCATGTGCATTCCATAGTCTATTTATGAGCATACTTACTTTATGTGTCTAAGCTCGGTTGGATATGTAACGAACTAGGGTGACATACAAACATTTGTATGCATGGTTGCATTTAGCAATTGAACCTGATTATGTGAAGAAAATGTTGCAAGAAAATATGCAAAATACGACTAGTGCACGAACATGTGACATTTATAAAGTGACAATCAAACTGGCATTGTTGCATTCACTATACAGTACCTAACCACTGAATTATGACCGGTGGTATTTAAGAAGAAAATTTTTAAATTAACTGTGCGAAGAGAAAATAAAAAACAAACTTTAACTTCGGTTTCACAGTTGCTATAATACGTTCATATTCACAAAAGATTCCTTACAAGAACTTGACTTTGATCGATCAGCTTGTAATGCAGCGATGGAGTGATCCGATCTGAACAATTTCTTCAGATATTGCATAATTACCTTCGATCCATGCCAAATTTACGATATCTCGACAAATGAAAAAATTTACCACACAAGCACTTGATTCCGATCGCTCAAGTTGTATGGCAGCTATATGCTATAGTGGTTTGATATCAGCCGCTCCAACAAATGAGTAGCTTCTTGGTGAGAAACGATGGGTGCAAAATTTCAGATATCTTAAAAATTAGTTCGCATATATTTAGATATGGCTAAATCGACTCAGCTCGATATGCTGACCATATATACATATATATACTCGTATAGCAAACTTAATATACACTATCCGAACCTACTGTGAACCTACTACAAGTAACTTAAAAACAAATTCGCTGCGACAAAAACCGAATCAATTTGGCTTCTATTTTCTTTTATATTTCCTATTTCTATCCAATACAATAAATAACCAATATAAAAATTGTCGTTCGGTTGATATTTTACAGCCGGTATATGAGAAATCCTATATTTGAAATTAAATACAATTGCTTTCTTGGACAAAATCTTTGTATGAATCTGATCAATACAATAATAACAACCACTCTGGATGGCTTAATACCTTTCTGACACGTCAAAAAGTGTTTATCTCAATAAAATAAAGTAAGAAGGATTCAATTAGCATAAATTGAATCGGTACACAACCTAAGTGATATTGATCCAGGCATATACGATTAATCTTCTATAATGACTTCAATTTATAATAATAACGAATTCAGACGTCACCACTTGTACTTGCATGTGTTGAAATTGCATCAATATTTTAAAACATTTGTTTGACTTTTATTTTTGCATTGACCTTAATTTTATGTACAAATACTGTACTTACAAAATCAAAATAGATTACTGTGTAAAATAATATCAGCATCTATTTTCAGCATTTGTGTGCCTTGGGGCTACAAACTGGACATGCAACGCCTGAATAACGCAATCAGTTATGCCGAGCTATGTTGTCACAGTTGCACAGAGAATTCGAGCAAAATGAGGTCGCACGTTACGATGCATAGTGGCGATAGATTCTTCATAATTGATTGGAAAATTAAGCAAAGATAGAAAAGACATAAAACTATCAAGAAAATTATATTGTATTTTCAGAGTCTTAACTTTAGTTTTTAAGTATTGAAAGGTTATCAATGAAATCAAAGTAATTGTTTTGTTGTTTTAATAAACAATCAAGCTATTTATTTATAACGAACAACATCTTCTTCACTTCTCACGAGTTTGTGCTCTTTGTACAGGAAATTGTTATTTCATAAAATGTGGTAGAAATCATCAAAAATGTTAGAATTAGAGATTAATGATTATAAGATAAAATAGACACATATTATATAAAGAGGAATAATGGCTCTTATACAATTTTGTTAATGATTATTAGAAATTTACTAGCCTATCCAAGCATGATATGAGTAATTGTGCGCGATTTTTAGCAAGTTTTAGACATATTTTCGTCGTTCGCTCAGTCATCATCATCACTTTTTATAGAAGCTACATCGGTTGTCATAAGTGCCTACTCGGCTTAGTGGAAAGGATGAAAGTCGTGATGATCGTAGTGATGGTGGTACGGATCCAAAGCGTACGGATGATAAGCCTTGATTATGGGCGCTGGATGATATGTTTTGATAATCGGATGCACGACAGTCTTCAGTACCGGCACCACAACTGGCTTAATGATAGGCGCGCTGTGTATAACTGTTGAGCTCTGATGTGAAATGGCCGCCGGTATGTGCACCAGTTTAGTCAAATGCAACGGCTCGTGATGGTGATGTAACAATGGGTAGTCAATGTGTGGGTAATGGCCATGCAGGTAGCCAGGACGTGCGTTGGCCAAGGCGACGAGCATGGAGAGAATAATAGACTATAATGAGAATAAAGCGAGAGTAAAGTGAAAGTAAGATGTCACTAAGGTGAGTTATAAGTATTAAACCTACATTCAAAATTTTGTATACTCTTGCAACATGTTGCTAAAGATTATAATAGTTTTGCTTATATTGTGGTACCACCTACATTTTTTTGAAAACATGTATCTCAGAACCTACTCAACCGACATCGACCAAATTTGGTGTGTAATATTATATTAACATTCTTTTGTTACGGCGCGAAATCGGACCACAATCACGCCTACTTTTCACGTAATGCAACTTTAAATTACATCTGATTTTTTCTCTTTACAGTGTACAAATCAGGCACCAACTAATATATCGGGATAAAACTTTGCACGAATGGTGCCTTTTAGGTATGCCATCTCAAAACTAAAAACTGTCAAAATTGGATCATAACTATTCAAGCTCCAATATACCGGAAATGTGGACCAGAGCCCATGGTTGACTTTTCAAAAAAAATATCGGTCAATGTGTGAAATATATTAATGAAATTAGGAGGTAATCCTTTTCTGATAATAGTATATCTGTATGTCAAAAATGGGTTGAATCGGGTCAATATTTCTCTGCCGGTTAACTTTACTTCTTTTATATTGTATATATACATACCTAATAAAAGTTTTTCATACTTCCGGTTGGCCCTATACCTTATATATTGGTCAATATGTAAGATATCCTCGGAAAATTAACTGAAGGTTTAATATTGGATATACTTTAGTTCAATGTCGAAAATATGTAAAATTTTATTGTACTACTTATAATAATTTCCTCAAACCTCCTCCAATAACAAACCTTACTGGTTTAGCGCCGAACATGATTGGAGCTGGTCTAGACCTAGGTCTTAATCTCATATCCCTAACATCATCAATTGCGATCTTCTGGTTGCCGGTTTACATATCAACTCAATATATTAAATATATCCTATAATAATCTATATATATTAAAATATATCACAAATATTAAACTAATTGAGTCTATCACTTATAAAAAACTTAATAAAATACCAAATTCACCAATTTGTCGAATAATGAGTGTTGATTTCTTTCGCAACATGTTGCTACAGAGTATAATAGTTTTGTTCACCTAATGGTTTTTTGTATCACCTAAACCGAATCCAGTTATATAAAGGGTTGTATATATATATAAATGATCAGGATGAAGAGACGAGTTGAAATCCGTGTGACTGTCTGTCCGTCCGTCCGTCCGTCCGTCCGTCCGTCCGTCCGTCCGTCCGTGCAAGTTGTAACTTGAGTAAAAATTGAGATATCTTTATGAAACTTGGTACACATGTTTCTTGGTATCGTAAAACGGTTGGCTTTGCAGGTGGGCGTAATCAGACCGCTGCCACGCCCAAAAAAGGCCATTAAAGAAAAACAAATAAATTGCCATAACTAAGCTCCACAATAAGATTAGAGCTTATTTATTTGGTACACAGGATCACATTATGGAGAGGCATCTAAAGTTAAAATTTATTTTAAAAAGTGGGCGTGCTCCCAATAGGTTTAATGTGCATATCTCCTAAACCGCTAAAGTTATAATAACTAAATTCACTGCGAACAAATGTTTTTAGCATCTCTATCGACTGTGTGAAAATGGGTGAAATCGGGTGACAACCCCGCCTGTGGTACTGTTAAAAACTACTAAAGCTTGATAAATCAAGCACTATACACGCTTGAGACATTAAATTATATTTCTGGGATGGTATGAGATGACTTTATTGGAACCGCGTTCAAAATAATACTGTGGGCGTGGGCCCGCCCACTTTTAGGTGAAAATCCATATCTTGGGATCTGCTTAACCGAATTCAACCAAATTCAGCACATAACATTCTTCTCATATTTCTTTGTTATAGTACAAAAATGGGCGAAATCGGATTATAACCACGTCTATTTTCCATATAACACCATTTTAAATTCCATCTTAATCTTTCACTTTACACTATGCAAATCAAGCAACAATGATTGTATCGGGGAGCGCGAATAATGCGTTTAAAGAATGCACCTTGTGACCAAGAATTGTCTAAATCGACCCCCTTGGTTTTAATTATTTATTCTTAGACGTAAACCAGCATGACAGGCTTCATTTTCATGGTAAGATACCTTCCGTAATGGTATCACGGGTTAATTAGGACGGTGAATTGAGTGCCAGCCCTGAGATTTTTCAATTTCCTATCCTTGTGATCGGTCTATATATCCACTGGATTACTTCAAAGGATAGTGTCAATATGAACAAAATCATGACCCTACAGCGAGGTGGTTTTCGGTGAAGATGATGATTTAGAAGCATATTGCTCATACACTCTCGCAATTGGTTGCCATGGTTTAATAATTGGTTTGCGCTCAACGCTCACGCTATCCCGACCGGCAATATAGTTTCGTGTTATCATCATCTAGTTATTTTCCCTTCCTTTCATAAAGAAAAGGACTAAATAGAGAGAAAATATATTGTCATGAAATAAACTTATTAATTATTCTATTTCTTCAACAAGTTCCAGTTTTAAGTTTGAAATTTGCGCTGATACCTTCCGATGATAGTACACAACAAAAACAAAAAAAAAACGCGAACTTCGGTTGCACTGAAGCTAGTACACCATTCACAAATAAAAAAGTTTCCATTAGTTTAGTTTGTATGGCAGTGTTGTATGATATAGTGATCCGACCTGAACACTTTTTTCAGATGTTCGTTGGACAATAATCCATCACAATTTCATGAAGATAGCTTGTTAAACAAAAAAGATCTCCATACAAGAACTTGCTTTCAATCGGCGGTTCCGAAAAATGAACAGCTTCTTGAAGAGAAGAGAACGTGTGCAATATTTCAGGGAGATATCTCAAACATGAGGACTAGTTCACGTATATACAGACAGTGTGCAATATTTCAGGGAGATATCTCAAACATGAGGACTAGTTCACGTATATACAGACAGTGTGCTGAAACGTAAAGGAGAGAAAGGATAACAAAAATTTGTATTCTTTATTGCTGAGATGCAATAACTTCTAACGACTAACTAAAAAGCATTAGATGCTGATTCAATGAATAAAAAAAACGAGACTCTTTACTGTTATTTTTAAATGTTTTATCGTTGTTCTTTAGTCAGGAATATACCGAATTCCAATAAATTATTGCTAAATGCAGTGCAAGCGTATTTTGAATTAGAACTTCAAATCTAGTTCAAGCTCTAGAAACACTATTGGTAAAATTAAGTGCCAACCACAACCCATATAATCTCAGTTTCCCGATGCTTACAATCCTTAAAGATATTTAACGGTTACAGTGCATAGAGCATGAAGAAATTTCTCACTTCATATTGAGTGATTTTCGATTATCATTCAATATAAATCATTTATATATTTCACTTTAAATTAAGATTACAGTTGGAAACGTGAGTACTTAGGCACTTTTCGAGATTCTTATTTATGCCATTATTCTGCTGATATATTTAATACATTTTGAATAGAAAAACCGGAGCACTTTTCCAAAATCGTTTTTACTTTTTTGTCGGGGTAGCAGTTCCATGGGGTTTCCATAACTAACGGAGAGTTATCTTTGTTCAGCAAAAAATAATTTAATTGCACTTTGTTTTTTCCTTCACGTATTTCTACTTTCCTTAAGACTCTACTTACCAGCTTAAACATTTTTACTGGGGCTTATTCCTATCAATGTGCCCTCTGAGTCCGGTAAGTGTCCTTAATTTGGGATAGCAAAGAACCGCTAGCTGTGTGCGTTAATAGAGATTTTCGTGTTCGATTTGAGTTTTTATTTTATTTTTTCGTTTCGTGTTGCGTTGCAATTTGAATGAAAACACCAACTGATGCCACCGACTTGCAGTTCACACTCTTTTATATTTTACCTTTTAATACCAGAAAAGTGAATCTTTGTTGTAAATGAAGACGTTAGTGCAGTCTTTTTGCACCAACCTCAGACATTGCGTTAACAACAATAGCAAATATGCAACAAACACCACAACAACAAAAGCTGAAGACCAAACTGTTAGTGCAACAATAATTGGCCCCCAACAATTACCGCTGTTGTTGGCACTTTGTAGCTGCTGTGGATGCGGCAGCTGTTACATTGCCAACACACATACATACTAACACACTTGTTTACTTTTTGAAGACACCAATTACCATTTCCCCTCTGGACGAACTTCTAACGCAGTTGCTGTGTTTGTTGGAATCAGTCTTGGGATCTATACTTGTAAGAGTATACATGTATACTTGAATGTATAAGCGTAGTCATTTAGCCATAAGCTATCTTCGTCTGTTTCAGCCAAAATGGCTGCAGAATACGTTCTATCAGCGGCGACGTTCACGCGTTCATTCATTCATTTATTCATTCGTGAGCTCATGCATTTGCACATACCCATCTTTTGATGTTCTCCAAAAGATATTTCAAAGACACTTTACATCCGTTGCCGCAAGAAGACGAAAATCCAAGCGAAATCACAGATTAAAATGTGCATTAAAGTTTTTTTTACCACGCACACACACATACATACTTACGGACGGTTGTGGTACGTGGCTGCTCGAAGCGTTACAGTTTGCATTCTTTGCCGGCAGCTGGAGATCTTCTTAGTTTGTAGCAGTGCCTCTGAGGCACTTCCACTGCCGACAGTTGACAGCCGATTGCATTGTGCCAATTATATGTTACACTTGAATGTTTATTCATTACAATTTAAACAAGTGTATGCAAGTAAATGCTGCAGATTTATTTGTGTATAAAGTTCTTCTAAGAACAAATATGCAAAAATATTTGTATACGTATATACATATGTATATTGTTATGCTGATATTAAGACAAGTTAGTAGCAATCGATCGTAAACAATAATGATCACTTTAAGTTCCAAATATGTGATCAATGTGAATTAAATAAATTATAACCTTGTTCGCAATTTAATATACATATCTATCTTTCACCAACAAATAAAAGTTCCAAGAAAATAAAAATCATAAAACTAAATAACTTAATAGATAGGGATTTACATGAGGTTGACTCAATACTGTTATATACATTCGTAAATTTCAAAAAAAATTTTGCATATGTATCGATGCTCGTATATTTGAAAACATTTCCTGAAAAGTTGAAGCTGATCCGGCAAATAGTTTCGGAGATATGAGCATATTAGTAAGAATTTCTTAATTTAGTGTTCTCGGTTTTCAACATTTTAAACGCGTTTTTCTCGAAACATAGTCGATGAGGAAAAATTCTTAGAAATGGCAGGTCTGATCGAATCGTTTATTTTTTTTTTTAATTTTCACTCTATCCTCTCAGATATATTTCTAATGATCGACGTAATAATATTTTTCACAATAATTTCGATTTCTAGAGACATTCGATTTCTGAATTATTAATTTTTTCACAAAAAACGACATTTTCTTTAGGAAGCCAAATTTTTGTCAAAAACCAAAATGTTGACTAGTCCTTCGTTAATTATCTGCATTCATTTTTATTGGTTTTCCAATAGGGATGATACGATTGTGTCGCTTCGGCCATTTTTAACATGTCATGATCTGTATTTTTATACTCTCGCAACCTGTTGCTACAGAGTATAATAGTTTTGTTCACATAACGGTTGTTTGTATCACCTAAAATTAATCGAGTTAGATATAGGGTTATATATATATAAATGATCAGGATGAAGAGACGAGTTGAAATCCGGGTGACTGTCTGTCCGTCCGTCCATCTGTCCGTCCGTCCGTCTGTCCGTCCGTCCGTCTGTCCGTCCGTCCGTCCGTGCAAGCTCTAACTTGAGTAAAAATTGAGATATCTTTATGAAACTTGGTTTCATGGTACCGTGAGACGGTTCGTATTGCAGATGGGCGTAATCGGACCACTGCCACGCCCACAAAACGCCATTAATCAAAAACAAATAACTTGCCATAACTAAGCTCCGCAATAAGATACAAGACTGTTATTTGGTACACAGGATCACATTAGGGAGGGGCATCTGCAGTTAAATTTTTTTTTTTAAGTGGGCGTGGTCCCGCCTCTAATAGGTTTAATGTGCATATCTCCTAAACTGCTAATGCTATAATAACAAAATTCACTGGAAGCAAATGCTTTTAGCACTTCTATTGACGGTGTGAAAATAGTTGAAATCGGGTGGCAACTCCGCCCACTCCCCATATAACGGTACTGTTAAAAACTACTAAAAGCGCGATAAATCAAGCACTAAACACGCCAGAGACATTAAATTTTATCTCTGAGATGGTATAAGATGACTTTATAGGAACCGCGTTCAAAATTAGACAGTGGGCGTGGCACAGCCCACTTTTAGGTGAAAACCCATATCTTGAGATCTGCTTAACCGATTTCAACCAAATTCGGTGCGTAACGTTCTTTTCATGTTTCTATGTCATAGTGCGAAAATGGGCGAAATCGGATTACAACCACGCCTATTTTCCATATGACACCATTTTAAATACCACTTGATTCTTTCACTTTCCACTATGCAAATCAAGCAACAATGATTATATCGGCGTAAAACTTTGCGTGAATAATACGTTTAAAGTATGCCACCTTGTGACCAAAAATTTTCTAAATCGAACCAAAACTGTTCAAGCCCCTAGGTACTGAATATGTGGACCCCAGTACCTATAGTTGACCTTCTACCGAAAATATCAGTCAATCCACAAAGAAATCTCAAACGAGTATACCATTTGACTTTGCGAGAGTATAAAATGTTCGGTTACATCCGAACTTAGCCCTTCCTTACTTGTTTTTTTTTATTTTATTCTGTAAAGTATAATATATCTTGACGAAATTTTGTAGCGATATTTATTGTTATATTAATATTATTAATAATATATATAATAATATTATTAATATATATTATAATAATATTATATAATATTAATACTATTATTATTATTATCACAATTATTATTATTTGTTGCTCTCGATATGTAAGCAAATTTTGATGTTTTCAAATGCCCCGATCACGAATTTCTTCATGAAACTATTGTAAATGCTCTTGTTTTTTTTAATTAATGTATATCTTCAATTAATTATTTTTATAACATATTAAATTTATTTTTCCCGTCGACTGGGTCTGCTTTACTTAGTGAAATGCTCGCTTTCGGTCAAAAAGTAAGCCATTACATCTGGGTCTATAATATGGTATATCGGTTGATAGGTAAGATATTTTATTAGTATGAGATATTTTAGTGGCATTCATTAAATCGGCTATTATTTGTTTTTATTTAGATCAATGTACTAAAAGCTCTTTTTAGACTTTGGAGATGTATGATGATTGTTTTCATCAAATGCGTTATTTAGCCATGAGTAAAGCTCTGAATAAGTTTAGTTACTGGCAGGGTAGCTAAACTTGTTTGTGATTAAGTTAAAACACTTTGTTAAAAAACTTGCAACATAATTTGCAGCGCCGCTGGCATGTTGTTTTTTTCTATTTTGAATATGTAACTGTTACAAGCGACCTTCATTTGTAGCACTAGCGGCAGTAATGCCGGCAGCAGTGGCAATTCGCTATCGGTTTTTTTGCACTTCTTATCTCGACTCATTTAGTGTTCACGCTACGTTTTTTATTCTTTTGTTATTACTACCTTTGCAAACTTGTTAGCAAGTTATCTTGCTTTACAGCTGTACTAGCATTTGGCGTTTTCTACAATAAAAAGCGGATGGTTTGTGCATAGTTGTCGTTTGAGAATGTCCCAAATGCGCAACGGAAGTTCTCACTTGCGTAATTTTTGGTGAGAAGTAAGTATGCGACAATATTTGGCTTCTGTTCATTTGTTCTGTTTGAAATTGTTGAAAATCTAAGCAAAACAATCAGTAAGAGAATGAGATAAGTGGAAATTAGTGATCTACAGCACTTGATCAGTAAAATATTCGCTATATTCATAGCAAGTTTGCGACACACGAGTACGGAACACGACCTGTGCAACGAATCGTCTTTCTTAACATGTGGTTTAATTGTAAGGGATGCGTTTTTAATTGAATTTTTGCTGTGTCATGGAAAATGCCACATTCATTATTGAACAAGCTTTGGTGCAGAAAAAACTTTCGTCTCTGAATCTGAGAGAAATGCCCTAGAACATGTAAATTAGCCATGATTATGTGAAAAACATCAAAATTCAAGATTATTTTCGAATATGTAAGATAATACAACACTTTTTAGATATAATTAGCGTACGATTTCTACAAAAGTTCAAAATTTTAATAACGCGGTTAATAACGAGGTTGGTCTTTTTAATAACTGTTACTATATTTATACTGAGTTTGGTATGCCATTTCATAATAAATATACTTACTGGAACAAAGTTTCCAAATCGTGTAAATTCAAGTCCGAAACAAGATGGCCACCGATCTTGATTTTCACAAGAAAAAATTTTTAAGCGGTGAGTTCGATTCGAACTTTCGATTATAATATACAATAATAATAACCCATAAGCCATTATTGAGATGCCGCTACATCCTCAAAAATTCACTGTATCGTTTGGAGTATGGAGCTTTCTCGTGTTTGATTCGGAGGATGTTTATGTGGACCTGTTTTATGGTCATAAACATTATCTTGCGTCCTGGACCTGTGGCGTGGTCTCCAAGAACGTGGGACTTAGCACCGCTGGAATCACTTTTGTAAAGTTGTGTGAAGTCGCTTGTCTACGCGATCATCAGGACGGCCGAGTCCATTTATTGAAGTTTATTTTATTATGCTTTTATATTATGTTACAGGTATACAAAATTATATGTATTAGTCGCAAATAAGAATCAGTTGTTGCATAATTTTTGCAAATTAACTCATGTGGAACGAATTATTGCACACGTTCATGTTCACGTTCACATTCGTTTTGTAAAC